GAAGGAGGAGAGATAAGGACGATAGATGTTTGATAGGAAAGAAGGAGGAGAGATAAGGACGATAGATGTTTGATAGGAAAGAAGGAGGAGAGATAAGGACGATAGATGTTTGATAGGAAAGAAGGAGCTAACCATTGTGGTATTAAGTGTTGGTATTGTGGTATTGATGGGCATGACAAAAAAAGTGCAGTGGAGTCAACTGAAAGAGAAAAGAGAAGTCTGCGTGATGGCCAGATATTCCTCAGCCACTTTGTTGTTCTTTCGGTCGAGAGGTGCTGCTGGAGTAGACGGAGGAAATAGACTTGGGAGTTTCTTTTCTTTCGGTCTATCGCTGATTCCGGATTAACAGTATTCGGTTGAAACACACAATACTGTAACTTTTTCTTCTGCAGATGTGGTCGCTCGGCCACGAACAAATCGACGGCGACCTTGAACTGGATCCGCACTCACTACCATGTGGTGGAGTCCAAATCTTCCCTGACAAAGCAAGACGTTTATGAACATTACAGGTACGTGATTTTTACATATTTTTTTAATGTAGTAGTTTTTACGCACATACTCACGCACACTCACACACACACACACACACACACTCACACACACTCACACACACACCCTTGAACACAATTTGGATCATCTAGGAGGAGGGCTTCCTACCCTGCCTGTTGGGGCTAACGCGGGCTGAGAGGGATACAACCTACCAGCAGACAGACCGAGTTACTCGATAGAAATTCTCCCCACTTGGGATTTGAGCCCTGGTCTCTTGTGTGCAACGGTGAAGTGGGTTTAGTTTGGTGCCTTGACGAACATTTGCTGTGGGTGGTTGGCAGGTGATCTGGTATGGTTTGCTCTTTCTTTACCATCGAACATCTGTTGTCCTTATCTCTCCTCTTCCTTTTCTTGGTATGGTACTGGTAACACCTCTAATCTCCGGCTCTTGTAATGACCTGTTTGTGTTGCAAGTGCCATAAAACTGTTACTCAAACGAAAACTTTGTCCGGTACGCTCTCGTTACACCTCTACTATTGGTCACATATATATGTAATTTGTCATGTTGCAAGTGCTGTAAAGTTCTTCCTACAACTCAACTGTGACATTTGCTTGGTGTTCCAGAAGGTTCTGCGAGGCCTCAAGAGTGGGCGTGATGAGCTCAGCAGACTTTGGCAAGTTGGTGAAGGCTGCGTTCCCGAAACTGCACCACCGTCGACTGGGCCAGCGGGGAAAGTCCAAATATCCTTGAGCTGACCGCAGCCGCAAGTCTCTAGAGACTTTTTCCATTTGACTTTTGCTGTCGTTTCTTTGTCCTTTATACTGCCTGTCAACGAAAAGCTTTGAACGTGTTTGGAAAACTTTGTGAAGGTCGTGGGTCGTCAGCTGGTAGAGAAAGTAAGAAATGTGGTGGTGTTTTTGTCTACGCTGGCTTCTTGGGCCGAGAGAATGAAACGTTTGTTCTTCGTAGCAAGGTGGGTGGTTGGCTGGTGTTCTGGTAACAGAAAGCTCTAACACTAAACGTTGCAGCAGTGTTAGGTGACAGCTGTCTAGTGGATGGGAGCGTACAGACATATAGATGGAGGCGTACAGACATGTAGATGGGGGCGTACAAACTTGTACAGTGGGTAATTGGCGGGTGCTTTTGTTGTAGTTTGCTCCCTCTTTCCTACCAAACATCCATCGTCTCAATCTCACCTCCTTCCTTTTTTTGTGTGTGTGTTACTCTCTTGTAACACCTCTAATCTTGGGCACTTTATATGACCTTATTGTGTTTCAAGTGCCGTAAAACTGGTACTAAAAGAACACTATGTACATGTAATGTTTTGCTCTTGTACCAGTGCTGGTTTGTTTCTTTAACGGCATGCACGTACTGCTATGTGGGGCTGGCCAGGAAGGAAACTGTCGAGTCCCCGAGTCTCCCGTCTTTGGATCCTGCAGTGGTCACTCACGAGGTAAACTCATGTTGTCACACAGGCACACACATGCTCACTTGCACATGTACACACACACACGCAAGCACACACACGCTCGCACATGCACACACACATTAACACACACACACACATTCACACACATACATACACACACACACACACATTCACGCACATACATACATACACACACACACAAACATTCACATACATACACACACACACACACTCACAAACATTCACACACATACATACATACACACACACACACACACACACACATTCACACACATACATACACACACACACACACACATCTCCAGGTTTGACAACTGGTGAAATCAGGCACTCGTCAATGTTAGGCATATGGGGTTTTTAAATTTTAAAACTTGTTCATTTATCATGCTAATGAAGGAAACAAATGTCCGTACATCTTGAATAGAAGTCGTGATATTTGCCGTCGTAGGTAGTCACGTGGTGTGAGACGTACAGTTGAGGAGAAAATTGCCGCCAAAGTTTGGTGAATTGGTAAGCTTGAGTGTCACTGGAAACTGCATATGTACATCTTTGGGGCCTTTGGTCAACATTTGTCTGCAAAATCCGCACAGAGATGAGTTTTTGACTGTGTGATGTCATCAATATGTACGAGGGTGTCTGGGTAAGTTTTGTGGGATTGTCTTTACCCAAAGATGTACTGGAGAGAGAGAGCGAGAGAGACAGGGACAGAGACGGAGTGAGAGAAAGAGGATTACTATAGGAGCTGTGCGCTGCATACGTTCTTTGTATTATTGTACAGTGCATTGAGCACTTCTTTGTGGAAATGCGCTATATAAATGCAATTTATTATTATTATTATTATTGTTGTTATTATTATTATTAGAGTGTTGCCGTGATGGGTCTGTCCACATTGTCACATGACTGGTCTGTCCACATTGTCACATGACTGGTCTGTCCACATTGTCACATGACTGGTCTGTCCACATTGTCACATGACTGGTCTGTCCACAGAACGTTATCGCGAGCAAGGACCCCCCGGTGAGCGAGCTCCACCACATGTCGTGCCAGCTGGTGTGTGAGTGGGCGGGGCAGGTCCTGGAGAAGCCTGTGGGCGACATCGTCAGTCTGTCACAGCACCTGTTTGACGTCGGACTCTCGTGCGGCCGCGCCGCCACCAAGTTTGCTCTCCTGTCGGGGAACCCTGGTCAGTCTGTTGTTTGTTTTTGTAAGGTTTTACAGTACTCACAACTGTATAAGGTCATATGAGCGCCAAGGGGTGGATGTCAACAGAGAAGTCCAAACGGTGAATCAGGCTTACTCTACTCACCTCTCTAGCCTCAACAGCACAAAGTCTGCTTCGACTATCAAGGCACCCCGGAAAAGCTGTTCACAAGAGAGTGACAAACATACAAAAGAAGTAGAGGAAAAAATGACGATAGTAAGGATGAGGAAAGAAAAAGCAGCAGTTCCCCCTATGTTGTTCCGGCACTGTATGAGCATGACATTGATAAATCAGCCCATTTACAATTCTACTGTGTATAAGAACATGTTAATATCCCCGCTTTAGAAATGGCCTAAAGACACTTCAGTCAGTGGCACTGCCTGGAGGGGGGGTCCCAAGGTCAGTGTGTGTGTGCTGTGCCGGCGTCAGTGGAGCAGTGGTTAGACACATCGCTGTCACACCCAGAAGACCTTAGCTTGAGGGGGGAGAAATTTTTTATCAAGTGTCTCTGTCCTTCTGCTGGGTTTTTCTGTCCCTCTCAGACCGCGCTTATAGAACCTATTTGTGGTGCTAGTGCTGTAAAACTTGTGGTAAACCTACTGTTTTGCTCCCCATGGCGTCAGTGTGTGGGGGTGTGTGTGACAAACTTGTGGTAAACCTACGGTTTTGCTCCCCATGGCGTCAGTGTGTGGGGGTGTGTGTGACAAACTTGTGGTAAACCTACGGTTTTGCTCCCCATGGCGTCACTGTGGGTGTGTGTGTGTGTGTGTGTGTGGGTGTGT